AATCACAACACAACGCTTCTTGGCCGTTACCGTATGACCCGCAGCCCACGCACCTGCCTGCTCCCTATCCCTCACCGCAGTATGGCTACACTAACCTTCCCGAGTCTCAGTCATCCCAGCCCCCAGCTCCGACTCACTCTCCCCGCTCGCCGTCTCCTCGCAGGCGATCTCTGTCCCCAATGCGTCCCCGACCCGCTTCCTCCAACCGGGAAAACTGAACGCCGCAGTTCCGGAGGCAAGAACTGCGCCGTCGTCGAAATGCCCAAGTCCTCGCACTTCACCTGTTAACGTCGTCGCCATATCTGTCAATGGTGTTTCTACCTTTGCCCTCATCGACACAGATGCTGCCGTTTCTGTTATAGCCGCCCAGCCCTGCCGCTCTCTACGCATAGTAACCACGCTTCTCTCTGGACTATCGCTTTGTACGGCTAGTGCACAACCAGTTCGACCTCTCAGCACCTGTACAGCCCGCATATTCATCCAAGGCTCTATGTACGTTGTCGAGCTCATCGTCCTTTTGGTGTGCTCGCATGACGTTATCCTCGGGTGGGACTTCCTGTCACATCATCATGCCGCCATAGACTGCGCACACGCTGAAGTTCAATTTTCGCACCTGTCTGACGAACCTTTGAACGAAACTCTTGAGGGGTCCCCAAAACTCGTCGTGCGTGAAGACACTGAAATTCCGCCAGCCCCTCTTGCCATTGTCCCTGTTTGCTGCGATGACCATAACAATGCTACAGTAATGTTTACACCTTCCGACATTTTCATGAGCCGCAGAGCCGTTTCCTTGCCTTTCGCTACACTTGATGTCACTGCTGGCCGATGCAATATTTTCGTCCACAACCCCCTTTCTGCACCGCTTACGCTACTTGCCGGCGAATGTCTCAGTCGAGTGGAGTACCTCAATTCCTCGTTATTCCTTAACATGCCAGACGAATCGTGCAGTAGCGCCTCGACCGAACTTCGTGCCCTTTCCCGACTGGAATGCTCGTCGAGTGACACCTTCTCGAGTTCTATCGCTGACACCTTAATTGCCCATGAACGCGCCGAGCTTCTAATCTCCTCCAGCCCTTCGCGAATTCATTCGACGTTTCTAAGCCACCATTGGGTCGGACTTCCGCACTGCACCACTACATTGACACCGGTTCGCACCAGCCAATGCGTCAAAGACCGTACCATGTCTCTGCTGCAGAACGTCACGTCATCAACGACCAGGTCGAAGAGATGCTACGCCGTCGCATTACCATCGCACAGTCCTTTGGCATCTCATGTCGTTCTAGTTCGAAAGAAGGATGGATTGATTCGATTTTGCGTCGACTACTGGCGGTTAAACAAGCTAGGTGACGCGGAAAGACGTCTATCCATTACCGCGCATTGACGACGCCCTTAACAGCCTCCAAGGAGCCGAATTCTTCTCCTCCTTAGACTTACGACCTGGATACTGGCAGGTTCCTATGGCAGAAGCTGATCGCCAGAAAACTGCGTTCATTACACCAGATGGCCTGTACGAATTTAACGTAATGTCATTTGGGCTTTGCAATGCTCCTGCCACGTTTGAACGACTCATGGACAACACATTGAGTGGACTGAAATGGTCTGTGTGTCTATGCTACCTCGACGACACTGTCGTTTTCTCTCCCGATTTTCCTACTCATCTGCTTCGGCTCTAACTAGTTCTGACGTGTTTAACCAACGCTGGGCTCCAACTGAACCTTAAAAAGTGCCACTTCGCCGCGTGAGAGCTGTCCATCTTAGGGCACATCGTGTCCAAGCATGGTGTTCTACCCGACGCTGCAAAACTGCGAGCAGTCGCTGAGTTCCCGAAACCTACTACACTGAAAGAATCACGCAGTTTTGTCGGACTATGCTCGTACTTCCGACGCTTCGTGCGAAATTTTGCGTCGACCATGTCACCACTGACCAACCTCCTACGCGGTGACGCAGACCTTTCATCCTGGTCTCCTGACTGCGACGTCGCGTTTGCCACGCTCCGTAGTCTGCTAACATCTCCTCCAATTCTTCGGCATTTCGACCCCACAGCTGCAACGGAAGTTCACACAGACGCTAGCGGGGTTAGTCTTGGCGCTGTCCTCACCCAACGCAAGCCGGGCTACTCCGAATACGTCGTCGCTTATGCGAGTCGCACACTTACTAAAGCTGAGGCCAATTACAGTGTCACTGAAAAGGAATGCTTGGCGCTAGTGTGGGCGCTTGGCAAGTTCCGCCCTTATTTGTACGGTCACCCATTCGACCTGGTAACGGACCACCATGCACTTTGTGGGCTCACCACATTGAAAGATCCTTCTGGTCGCCTAGCTCGTTGGGCAGTGTGAATCCAGGAGTACGACATTCGCGTCGTATATCGCGGCGGACGCAAGCATTCTGACGCCGACGCCCTGTCGCGTTCGCCTTTACCTCCCGACTTGGCCTGCGGAACCACTGGTACGAACTCTGTCGCATCTCTCGACCTCGACTCATTTGCCAGTGAACAACACAAGGACCCGTGGATCGCTTCCCTTTTTGACCGTCTCTCTGGATCGTCAACCACTGCGGTACCACGATCTCTCCGACGTCAAGCTGCTCATTTCGCCATTCGTGATCGGCTGCTACACCGACGCAACTACGCCCCTGAAGGTCGTAAGTGGCTCTTGGTTGTCCCCCGCAGCTTGCTATCACAGATATGCGCCTCCTTTCACGACGATCCCCAATGTGGTCATGCCGGAGTTTTCAAAACTTACGAACGCATTCGCCATCACTTCTACTAGCGCGGAATGTATAATTTTGTTCGAAAATTCGTTATGGGCTGCCCTGACTGTGAACGCCGCAAATCACTGCCTTTCCACTCGTCCGGTGTGCTTCAACCGCTTCCGTGCCCTGCCAAACCTTTCAATCGGATCGGAATTGATCTCTATGGCCCTCTACCGACAACATCAAATGAAAATCGGTGGATCATAGTCGCTGTGGAACATTTACCACGCTACGCTGAGACCGCCGCCCTTCCAAGTGCCACTGCGCGGGACGTAGCATCCTTCGTCCTTCATCGCTTGATACTACGACATGGTGCACCTCGAGAACTACTAAGTGACCGAGGTCGAACCTTCCTATCAGAAGTCGTCACGTCTCTGCTTTCTGAATGCCATGTTGTTTATCGCAAGACCACGGCATACCACCCGCAGACTAACGGGCTCACTGAGAGATTTAACCGCACCCTTGGCGATATGCTCGCAATGTATGTGACATCCGATCATACTAACTGGGATCGCATTCTTCCATTCATCACGTTCGCATACAACACTGCGGCACAGTCCTACCACTGGATTTTCACCTTTCCTTCTTCTTTATGGACGCGAGCCATCCCACACCATCGACACTCTCCTTCCATACTGTCCTGACGCATCCGAATGCCCATCTGTGTCCGAAGCTGCCCGAAATGCGGAAGAGTGCCGTGAACTCGCACGCACCTTTACGTCACAAGAACAGCAGCGCCAGAAAGAAAACAACGCCGACTCTTCACAAAGCCACAGCTATTCCCCCGGATCACTTGAATGGCTGGCTGTTCCTTACCAAACCCCCGGCCTTTCCTCAAAACTTGTTCTAAAGTACGAGGGCCTATACCGCTTTCTGGAGCAAGCCTCGCCGATGAATTTTCTCATTGAGCCACTTTCCCCATTTGACGACATGCGCCGGTGTGGACGTGACATCGTCCACGTCGCCCACCTTAAGCCATATCACAGCCCTCTGCCTCCAGACTCTTAGGTCGCCAGGATGGCTCTTTTTCGGCGGGGGCAAATTGTGAAGAAGAAAACGTATGGTTGGCAAGCAACATCGCCACCGCTTGGGTACTGGGTGCTGGGCTTTTCTCGCTCGGCTCGTGCTGAGCTCTGTCCCGATCGTGTTTTCATCGTAGGGCTACTGTCGCAACAGTCGCCAATAAGCCCCTTTTCACATTGTATATACGAGATACCAGATTGTATATACATGCATGCTGACCAAATTGTGATTAACGTGAACGTACTAGATACCTTAGAATGGGTGGCTTCACTTGCCTCAAAGAGAAGTTGATGTATGCAGTTTTTGCTGGCTGCTTCGCATTACATCAATTCCAACTGTGCGTGGAATCTGCCAGATTTTTTTTTTCAAGTTTGTTTTTAACTAAGTGCATCCTCAGTCAAAGCCCACCCTCATCACAATTGTTTCTTCAGGGAAAGATCTTATATAATGCTTCAAGGGGTCAAGTAAACAAGCCCGCGGAATGAATATAATAGTGGTGGCGGTGATTTGGAGACACCTAATTTATGCAGCGCTACGAAGGGCACGGCACAGTGCCTAGGGGAGGAGAAGTGGGACAATAGTAGATAGAGGAGGAGGAGGCATTAGACATGACGTGGCCCGGTCATCAACAGGTACAGTAGGCTAGCAGTAGGGATGGAGGTGCCAAGAGCAGTAGGCCGCGATTCCCATTTGGTCAAAGAACTCCGCCAGGCTGCGAAGGGCAGGTAGCTAGGGACAATACGGGTGGAGGAAGGGCTTCAATGTGGAGGCGGGAAGGCCCTGTCTCAGGTAGGCTGCGGTGACCCTCAATCATTCCTGTGCCAACTTGGGGCAGGCACAGACGAGGTTGTAATGAGGCTGCCGCGAGCCAAGATTCAGCGAGCTGTGCGCATCGCACCGGACAGGGGAAGGGAGAAATCAGAGGGGAATTCAGGAAGGAAATGCGTGCAAGGAAGTGCATCACTACTTTCCAGATCAAGAAGCTTTATGCCGCAATAGGGTGTCTCAATGCATGCGCAGAGCGCCCTATGCCGCAAGGCAATGCAGCACCACCATGGGAGCACAGCCTAGACTCTCATGGCGACTACGCTACCTACGGCAAACACAACCTAACAGGAGTAAGCAAACACCCCACAAATGAGGCCACAGCAGCTTGTGGTGTAGAACTGGCAAGTACTTTCATAGCCTAAATCAATATATTGCACGCTGTTTGCACTATGCAGATCGATATGTCAGAAAATTGCACTGCAATCTTTATTAGAAAAATTACAGGGCACAAATCACAGACATGTGCAAGGATCATCTTATAAGGCAGAGTTTTTGAGTAGCCAACAGCCGCATCTGAGCCTTCTGTGGTTTTCCGATGGGTGTCTTGGGAACTTTGGCATCGTAGATGAAGTAGCGAGGAATTTTGAAATGACTCAGCTGGAAAACAAAAAAATATAGCGTTTGAAGTCAGTGCCCGCATGTAGTTCCTTTTTGTGTCCCATTTTATATGTTCTAAAACTATGCCTAATTATAGATTAGCCTGCATTACCACCATTTGGGCAGAAGTCTGGAATCTCATGCCACTATCACTGTTGACTGACATTCCTTCACAACATGTTGATATTGTTTAATACGCACCTTGCCCTTGCAGTGCTCTTTGAGTTCTCCATCTGTGACCTTTTTATTTGGCTTGAGCACTATCCATGCACACACCTCTTCGCCCAACCGTTCATCTGGCACACCAATGATCTAATCAAATATAAAAACGAACCATACCGTATTAGAAGCACACAGCACATACCTTTTATAATAGTGCGCTGCCACATTGTGAGACCCGGCATTGACCTCTAAGAGACAACAATTACATTACAAATGTAAACTACTAGACTAGACTTCAGCACCACAGATAAGCAAAACTATGCACACACGAACATGGAAGTGTCATACTTGTGATTTCCCATACTATGTATGCATTAGGTTGAGACACTGTGTCAGATTACACTGTCTTCAAGATTACTCAAAATTTCTTGGTTGCCAAAGTTGTTGAGACAGACCCACGTTTTCGGCCAGATATGCTAGATGATTCATTGCATTCACTGAGAACCCGCATGTACAGGCTTGTCCACTCTTAGGGTGAACAAGATTCAGCACGGCTGCGCTCGGCGGAGCAACTGTGCGTCGAGATGAAGTGGTGCAGGAGCCTGGCGTTCCTGTTGTATTACAGCAGAGCTAGCGCGACACATCACTGTAGCACATGATGTGAAGGACCTCACGTGGGCCCTTGTGCACATGTGCAGCATCCCAAGGACGTGCAGCCGCTCCAGATGAACTGGCTCCTCAGCAAGCACAGCAGCACTGATCAGGGTTCATGAATGAACAAGCCCGTACATTCGCTATGACATTGCAGCCGTGAGTCATTAGCAGGGTGCACAGAACAACAAACCCACTCACGTGACACTCCTGGACGGATGGGTGAGTATTAAACAGCTCCTCCACTTCGGTCGGGTACACCTTCTCGCCGCCACGATTCACCACATCTTTCAGGCGGCTGACGATGGTCACAAAGCCTTCGTTATCCATTACACCAACATCACTGCATGGTTCAACAAGTAAAAGGACAAAATATTATGAGTCCTCCACGTTCTAAAAAGTGGGGACAAGCAAAGGTTGGAATGTACAGTCCGTTTCACACTCAAAGGAAATCTCACAGCACGTGGCACCGCGATGCGGCCATGATGCAGTGAGCGTGGCAGTCACGCACCAACAGCAGCTTGCGCATGCGCAGATGCTTGAGGGGCGTAGTGCTGAACGGTTCAACCGTGTCGTCGACTACAGTGGCAAGCGCATTGATTGATATGTGGGGTTTAACGTCCCAAAACCACCATATTATTATGAGAGACGCCGTAGTGGAGGGCTCCGGAAATTTCGACCACCTGGGGTTCTTTAACGTGCACCCAAATCTGAGCACACGGGCCTACAACATTTCCGCCTCCATCGGAAATGCAGCCGCCGCAGCCGGGATTCGAACCCGCGAACCGCGGGTCAGCAGCCGAGTACCTTAGCCACTAGACCACCGAGGCGGGGTAGTGGCAAGCGCAGGCCGCATTGTCAAGCAGCGGGTGAATTTCATCGTTACTGCGTGAACTGGGCCAATATTGCTCATCGCATCACTGTACTCTTCACTGCCGTCCATAATGAGGGCTGTCATTGCTGCCGCTGGGGACTTGACAAGGTTAATTTTTCTTCAACGTGAAATAAAATGAACTGTGTCTCATACTGGTATAAGAAATGAAAGTTGTAACTTCATTAACCATGTTTTTACTTTTATACTGCAACGAGATGAACAAACTGTGCATTGAGCGATACATAAAAATCAGTCATGCTTGTAGTACGAATATTGTATATCGATTATGCTTAGTTCATTTTTTCCAATGATCATAATTTACATATTTCACTACAAGCTGATAAGAAAAAAAGGTGCAGCTGAAAAATGAGCCTCTTTAGGGATTTTGGAGGAAGGAGTTTGCTGTGGCAACTCTGCCTTCCCAAACTAACAGTGCTTACCGTTAGAGAGATAGTGAAGGTTGTCTGAAGTGTTCTACAACATGATAATGACATTATGCTTTCACACAAGAAATCGACTGAATAAGGGCTAGGTAAAGCATTATGAAAAAATAAAAAATAAAACAGTGGCTAGACACTAAACACGAATCGATGGAACACACAGTTATAGGTGCCAATGCATGTGAATCCCTTCAAGGTTATCGTGAGCCAATGAACAAGAGTGTTACTAGAGTCCACAATGTATTGTCTTTACCCGGTCTTGTAAAATCCATCGGGTGTCATAGCCTCCTTGGTCTTCTCTTCATCGTTGTAGTAGCCAAGGAAGACATTAGGACCACGACCCCAGACTTCCCCCGGCATACCCGTTGGCAGCACTGTGCCCGTGTTGGGGTCAACAATCTTCACCTGCATGGAAATGTGCAGTTTCACTACTATCTTATACCATATACCGTGACAATCTGTCTCCTTTACTAGACAACTGCAGTTGCTAACCAGACTATTTGAGGCAACGACCACTGATATTTACATAACTTATTTTTTATACAGTATAGGAAGCTATAAATAAGCAAAAATAAGTAAAACAAAGTGGTGCATGTGGCAGCTACATGTGCGTAACAGACGACTACACATGAACAAAAGGATTACTGATCGCTGTCACCGGTCATGGCTATGGTATGCAGAAAAGGCTGCAAGCCATTTTTCTATTTTACAAGAAATTTTCTATCCATGCAAGGATGGAGCCTAACACTAGAAACACATGCTGGAAACAGCGTGCTATAGGAGGGTTCAATAGCAATTATATTCTTCATGCAGTGTCATCATACGACCGTGCTAGTGCTACTTCACACATTTCTGGCAATCAATTTATAAATTATGTGTCTTTGGCCAAAGCTATCTTTAGAGAATCATCGTGTGCACACAAGCGTCAATGAACGCGTTGCTGATGATAATAAACTTCATAACCTTCTTGAAACAAACTCTCATAAGGCAAGTACCTCTTTCACATTTTATCGCCATCAGCAGAAGACTCCTAAATGTGAACTACTTGAAAAGTCCTTCTTGTTAAAATCTCATTATTTGCAGAAATGCACTGTGCACAATAGCACAATAAGCCTATATTCATAAATGTTACAGAACGTACACTTAGCAGGAATACAATAGGAATAAGTTCGAGGCAAACACAGGTAGCATGCAGCGGAAATGAAGAGTGTAGCAAAGATGGGACATTCAGTCTAAGTTAACACCATGGAGAGAAACATGCTGACAAAAGGCAAAGCAGAAGGGCTAACCGGGTGCACCACGAGCAGGGAGCAGAAGCACGAAGGAGAAGCTGCAAAAGAAGGAACAGAACATTGTTACAGAACACGCCTGCTGCTCCTTTTACATCACTGCTAGGCACCTCACGGTTCGTGCTTCGTTACGACAGCAATGGCATGGACACTCAAGTGAGCATAGATGCATGCTTAGAAGCCTCTATTGAAAGTATTTTCAATCAAAGGGACTGACGTTATAGGTGTTGCTGATGATAATTGACGAATTCCATTTATAACAATATTAGTAATAATATTAAACACTAACGAAGTTCAAAGTTTTTCATATTTCAACAATAAGAACTGACATTACAGCATGATGCTTTAGTTCTATGCTGGTCCCGAGACAAATAATTTCCAAAGCTATATAAAGGCATACGACAGTTTTAACTGGTTACAGAAGCAACGGAAATATTCATGTGTGAACATGGTCAGTTTAGCTATAATTGATAGATATGTGGGGACCATCCCAAGACCACCACATGATTATGAGAGGTGCTGTAGTGGAGGGCTCCGGAAATTTTGACCACTTGAAGTTTTTTAACATGCACCCAAATCTGAGCACACGGGCCTGCAGCATTTTCGCCTCCATTTAAATGCGGCCGCAACAGCCGGGATTGATCCCGCGACCTGCGGGTGAGCAGCCGAGTACCTTAGCTACTAGACCACCGGGGCGGCGCCAGTTTAGCTATGCGTACTCCGGTAGTGACAAACAATTACTTTATACGACACTCTTTACAAATCAATAAGGCTTCCTTGTGCCTTCAGAACAAAAGAACAGCAACAAGTAAGAAGGATATTATGAATTGTCACATGCAACCCACTGGTACTGCATGGACAAAAATGTCAAGATGACGGAAAAAGAGGTTCAAGATTAAAAAGACATCTCCCCAGATTCGTGCATGCTCTGAAGGGACATTTACGCTGTCCACGTTCTGACCATGCAATCACAGTATCAATCGCATACACACAATTTGAGTCGGTGCAAGAATAAAAGATCTTCAGAGTTATGAAGAAAGCATTACATTTTACTGCAAGTGCAACAATGCCAACTATGGATACCAAATGACTAGCCCTACAACAGAGCTAAATAACTGTTTCGCTTTCTAGTGCTACCACAGGCATAGTGCCTACATGCACCAGAATTCCCACTGTTCCGCCCTAATAAAATAATAACTGTTAGGGTTCGAAATCCCAAAACCCCGACACAATTATGAGATGTCATAATCGAGGGCTCCAAAAGTTTTGACCACTGCGACGGGTCACTTCTCAGCTGTGCCCACTACACCGTGAAGCATACAAAAAGTTGCACAGTAGATATAAAGCTCTAAACTGTGACTTTTTTTTTTAATCTTGTGTGCTAATAAGGCATACAATGGCTGCGGCAGAACTCCTTGTCAATCAGCATTGTGGGGGGCTTTAATAGCAATCATTGTTTTCTATGGTTTTTGCTGTGCCACGGTAGTTGCCTGGTGCACTGCATCATGCCAACATTTATTATTTAAATTTCAACAAGACAAGGTGCAGCACCAACATTTGAGTACAAGAAAGACAAGCTCACCTCAAGACCCGGTAGTGGTCGACCAACTGTGTTCAACTGCTTGTCGTCAGGGTCATCATTGCTCGTCACTATAGCCGCCGTAGTCAGCTCAGATGTGCCAAAGCCCACCTGAACATTGCGTTCAGGAGTGTTCATACAAGTTGCTATTTCATACTGCGGCAAGATGGGTCAGAGATATAAAACTTTCTCACTGCTTGAATAGCAGTGCCAGATAAACAGAATTCTTTTTTTTTTGCACTTGCTGTAAAACTAAAAAATTCAAGGGACACAAGCAGATTATTAAATTTTAGTTGCATATGCATCTGCAATGCACACTTACAACAGTCAACTACACAGGCACTTTTGCAATTACATCATTTTGCAATTTCATCAAAACACACTAATTGCTAAAACCAAGAATCAAGCTTATGATCTTACAAATCACAAGAGCGGAATTTTTAAAGCATGTTTCATGAATACATGTATTCAGAATTAAATAGAAGACCGTGTGCTCAACTGGATGCGACTGATCACGCAAAAGAAAACATGCCGTGTAAAAAGATGGAGGAAAATTCATTCGAGTTCTTAATTGTGAATAGTCGTAACCGAAAGCTCGCCAGTACACTTTGGACAATCCAATAAAAAGAAAAAAGCTTCAGCGCTATCGATATACACTCCAAAGCTTAAAATGGGCTATCTTGAAAAGAGAACAGTTTTTTGTAATATTTTAGCACTCTTGCCACTCAACATTTCCTTCTGAATGCTGCTCAAGTTTTCAAAGCCTTTGCAGGATTGAAGCTTCAAGGGCTGATGCTGGCAATTACCCACTTTTCATATTTAAGTATACTATGAAATTTTAATAACGAACCAGCCACAAGATACATATAGAAGGAGCTGTTATCAAAAACAGAGATGCTAATTATGGAATTGCTACTGAGATAGTGGCTTCACACATATTAAACCAACAATATAAACGAGAAGATCAGTGAATATCACTAATACGTTATTACTTGTGATCACGAAAGGGAAAGATGTGTCCGTAGTGCGCAACCTGGGTTTAACCTCACCTAGCTGCACGTGCACCTACAAGCAGCTGCCGCCAAACTACACCTATCCAGGGAGACTGTCCTGCGGAGCTGCCATGCGGAGCTTCCTCAGCATGTTTTGAGCTGAGTATGAGCGACAGAAGGTTCGTGCCTCTACTGGGGCTGCCACTGCCAGATTAGCATGTGAGTACTAGTCGCTGAAGTTCGGACACTTTTGCAAGTGCGAGTGATCAGCTGTAGTTCGACTTTACTCTGTTTACACGAAGGAAAGGCCTATCATCAGCCAAGACCCAAGATCGACCAGCTTCACCGTTTCTTAAGCGTTACTTGGCTAGCGTGAGCTCAAGTTTTATAATCAATGTTCCTGAATATCGAGGCTTGTCTGTTGGCAGCTTTGGCGTGTGCCATAGCCATGATGAAGATGAAGAGGGTGACGATGATGATCACAAACAACAACTGGCTTGTGCCGTATATGACGTCTTGATATGCTCTACGATTCATTTCACATGACTGGAAACAACGAACAACCACCGCGAACGTGCCCGAACCTCGTCATAGCCAACTTCAGGCCAGATCTGATGCCACAAAGCAGTAATGACGAAGGCAAAACAAAATTCAGAACTCAACGCGACATCCCACTTATGACCTATAAACAGTGTATATAACCGTGCACCACTTTGTCATAGATTTACATACGCGAGTGGTCAATGTCACGGGTGGTTTACAGTAACACCGAATATTCTGCTGCTTCACCCACTCGTCATCGTTCACTCCGGGGATATGGCGTATTTTTTTTTTTTTGTATCACAGCAATTCATGTGTGACCAACTAAAACAGGTGTCCATTCAGGACTAACAGAACTTTTCGTACTCACCCTCACATTGATATGCAGCTTTTCTCGGACCAGACTACGTATTGCAGGCGTGACAACATTTCCACCGGACTCTCCTGAAAGAGTTGAACTCTATGAACATGAGCATCTGAAATAACTGCAACAATGAGTCGATGACCTGAGCTGCCAGAATCTCTAAGCTTTGATGGATACAGCAGACATAATCTATTCCTTCTAGGTCAACACTGCAGGCTCTGGATTCCCACAAAAGGAAGAAAGATGGAGTCATCTTTAAATGTTTTATAATCGTGCACTCAGCAACAGTATAAAGTTACAGATGCACTAGCATTCATGATATCAATTGCAACATAACAAGATAAATGAAGCAAAATATTTTCAGTGGTAGCCAGTTGATAATGGGTTGTTAAATTTGATGTGCTGCCTCATCTAAATGAAACAAGCAAACAGAAATAAATGATGAACAAAAAAAAGGACAACTATGTTGTCATAATTTTTTGTGTTCGCCCGTGTAGTGCATTATGCAAAATGCCATGCGTTGACAGCTAAGAAAAATCAAATAGTACAATGAATTCAACATCCACATCTCAGTATTTTATAAGAAAGCTCAGCAATCTTTCCAAACTGCCCTTTCAGCCTAACTACAACTACTAGTTACCGATACAGTACAGTACCACACTAATAATCTATCTGCAGCAGCAGTACGTATGACTGAGTGTGCAAAGCATGTCAAGAACTTTACATTTTATTGTTGCCAGGACAATAAAACATTTCAAAACAATAATTAAGTTTAGGTTGTAGTAACCAGACCATATTTTTTTTCTTTTTGATAAGTAGTGCTTTAAGATGAGCTGATTGCAAGAAGACAAATCCACTAGCCATACATAGCTTGCACTGGCCATGCCAATAGCTCGAATGACTAGCCAATAGCTTGCACAAGTCATGCATAGCTTGCACATAGCTTGTACTTATGCACTCAAAGTGGTGCCAGTAACTCTCTTCAGGCGCAAAGCGTCTTATAGTCAAGCCCAATCCAGTGTACGGCATGACCACCCTTACTGCGCATGCCTGTACCCTTCCCCTCTTTTCCCTCTCCCAGGATTCCTCCCTCTCTCACCTCACAACGCCGTCGCAAGCAGCCTTTGCAGTCTACACTCGCTACCCCCTCTTCCTTTCGTAATCCATTCTCGCTGCGTTTACACCCTATTGCACATGCACACCCCCTCCCTTTCTCTAGCCTCGCAACGCTGACACTGGCAGCATCTGCTAGCGAGTTTCTTGATTGAAAACACTGACTGCTCACACTGCACAGCCGTTCAATGGCCATTCCGTACACATAGGCACTGGATCTTGGCCTCCAAGGTAGTGCCGGTGAGATATTGCTCCTGTACGTTGTCGAACAATGAAAATGCAGAGCGTGTGTATGTTAACTAAAAGTGGATTGCAGGTCTCTGTGTCCTGTCGGAGTCCTTTGTCTCTCGTTGCCCATTAGCAGCGATTGGCATGTTCCAGTAGGAAACACCGACCAATCACTGCTTGCCTTGCGTCTCCCAGGTTTCTCTCCTGCTCAACGCTGCGATGAGCACCAACGTCAATGCCACTGCCAGTGTAAGCGTTAGCGTGCGCTGCTTTGCATCTACACATGCTTTCCTTTGCCAGGAGATGGTGTAATTTTTTTGTCTTCACCCAACCTCGAAGGGTCTATGAGTTAGCTCAAGTGATGAGTGAGTGAAAGAGTGAGCGAGAGAGAGAAGGCACCTGTGTTTGTACTGCCCACCTACGGTCCTCACCTGCCCATCCATCTATCTACCTATCTAGCCACCTACGTCTAGGTGCTCTAGCACCGAAAATTTATATAGGAGGGTAAGAGAGCTTGAGGATATGACTGTCTGGTCACGACATGAATAGTGTGAAAATCCTGTCACCGTACATCCTCAAACCTTTCCCTCCAAACACCAGCGGCACATACCACGGGCCACGTTACGCAGGTATGCGCCACAGGCGACTAACATTTTTATATCTACCCTGCAACGGTGAGACCAGGTATAGGTAACGTAAACGAGAGAGTTAAAAAAAAAGAGACACCTAGCAGCAAAGACGCAACAAATGCAGAGATAAAAATCAGAATCTCAGCTGTAGTCAAATGCAAGCATTTTGCATGGCAATTGGGTATTCTACCACCGTGTCACCCCAGGTCTTCAAACGGCTTTGGAAAAAGACTATGTAGGCCTAATGCTGGTGTAACGTCGATTGTGGTTGCAGTGGTGGTTATGTATAGCAAATCAATAGACATTACAAGTGTACTTTTGACGCGCGCATCTTGTCAGGTTAACGTGAATTGCGAGTGAGGATTTGCTCAGCTTGTACAGCAGTCTCATAAATATTTGCATGTGTATTTCCTATGATTCGACAAGCTACATTGAAGTGTTGCTCAACCCTGTAGCAGTAGGATAATGAAGGTTGTGCATGTTATTCTGTGCTATGAATGTCTATGCTTTACTGTGATTGCTCACCTAACGTCAGACCATAAGTTACCCTTTAAACGCGAGTGTAGTCAACCTACCTGGCAAGCCCAAAAGTGCACACAACTACTGTGCTTATAAAAAAAAAATGCACAGCATATCCACAGAGTGAATGATGATGAGTGGGGCAAAGTGGCCTTCAGCCTGTCTGTGTGCTCATTCTTGCTTCCGTCTGTCCGTGCAACCATTCACGCGTCTATCTGTGCGTCCATCTAGTGAACACTCCAAGTACCGCCATCTCGCATACCCTGTGGCAGATACCCACTCTAGAGCGGGTATGTGTCAAGGGTGTCACGCCGATGGACAGGGGACATTTCTCGACCCTAAGGAGCTTCGCCCCTAAAACAGGTCGATCTACATTGCAACGCTTGGCTCATAGCCAAAACATGCAGCGTAGACAATTACACGCTAAGTGCTTCACATGAAGCGGATTCCCACAAGGCGTAGGATTCTGGCAAATTTCTTTCATCTATTGGCCTTGCTATCAACCAGTATTGCACTGTGCTAATCATTTCAACATGAGATGCAGACAGAGAAAGTGAAATAAAAAAAAAATCTAAAGTTTCGATGCATTCACTTGCATTGGTGATGCAATGTATAAGGTTTCTGTGCTAGAAACGGCGGGTTCACTTTATTTGGACTCTTCAACTTTAAGTTTGCTTTTTTCTATTTATTATTGTTTCTGCTTATATCATTTATTATATTTCACTGTTTTGATAGAATTATTTTTACTTTAGTTAGGGGTCGGTGATATCAGAGATAGGCAACTCGCACACACTTCTTCACACTTTTTACTTACAATGACGTTGCTAAGACTTCGTTTTTTTAATGCTATTACACAATATGTTATTCGACAGCTTAATTTCAGAATGTCTAGTTAGACTGACCTAGCTGCAGAGAGGAAATGTCAAACTGTTTCCTCTGTGGAGAGTTGATGATGTCCACAAACATGGTGGGCGAACCATACAGCTCGGTGCATCTGGAAAAGTTCAACGAGCATAGTCTTAGAAGCTCTGCAAGACAAAAAGAAAGGAATAAGCTTATACTAATAAAATCATTTTATTAACTCGGGATCGGTATGACATTGGTGAAAGGAAGAAGACCGCAAAATCTAAACGAAAGTAAATTTGTTTTTCTAGGTTTATCTCACTGTATTCAAGCTACCGGAGAGCTTTCATGTGTCTGGTATTCAGATATGCACAACGGCATTAGTGGAGTACTAGGTGCGTAGTACAATGCTTTGTTAAAACCACAATTAGTACAGGCCAGTTTTTTTCTTCACATTCTAGCACTCACTAAGAACACAGCCGCTCACCAAAAAAAGACATGGCTGAGAAGCATGCGTGCTAGAGTTGGAAACACATGCTATGAGAATACAGATCAGGATACTCCGAATTAAACAAGAAATGGGATTCGCTTTCACGTAGCTCCACTCTACACAAGCGAATCCTGGCTGTCTGGCACGCCCATGATCAGGCCGGTTGGCGAGACCGGTCCCGACGTGGAACTAGCCAGGTGTGTGACGTGTTCACATCCTTGTCAGACCACCAATAATGTTTCACTCGCTCACAAGCATCTGGCCTGGCATCTCACTGATTAACTGGCTGTGAACGCCTTTGAGCGTTACTGTATACAAAGAGATGGGCATTTATTTGTAAGCATTTGATTATCTGTCTCATAGGAATACTTCAGAGAGATGCTGCATCACCTGTGCTCCTGGACGGCCTTCAGGACGGACACAGCATCGTATGCCGGCGCTGGCACGACAGCCTTGGCACCCAGCACCAGTGTGCGAGCCAGTACCACGCTCAGGCCATATACGTGAAAGAAGGGAAGCGGGTTGCACATCACTGTCTCCTGCAGTTGGCGAGTAAGAGAGCACCATATTTTATACATCAGAAGACATGTCTCATGTTGGGAGTACGAGATTTCAAGCACTTTACACACTGACAGCAAAAGGCATGGGCACTTTGTACACAAGGTTGGAAACTATCCAAACCACGCACGAGAAATGAAACGCCGATTTGCCATGCAGGAACGTAGAGTTAGTGGCCCACCTTTCCCATTGAACTTTTTCTTTCTCTTTTTTTGTGCAGCTGTGTCATAACAAGGAAACTTTCATGACACCTTAATACTGCTGTATATAGCTTTGACTGTATGTGCCATAAATGCCTCTGCTCACTCAAACTGAAGACAGGGAATGATACTGACTTGCGTAAGCTTAGCCCTCTGGTCATACATGAGAACATTGTTGATGAAGTTGCTGTGGCTCAGCACAGCAGCCTTGGGTGCTCCAGTCGTGCCCTAAAAGGCAACACGTTGGTTACAGAGGTACATACTGCTCGGGTCAACCATTCACAGAGCACTGCATGCATGTACGATTGACTCACAGAAGTGAACACTATGGTGAATGGATCATTGGCTGACACACTTTTCTGCGCTCTCTGCAGGTCGGCCTCTCCCCCTTGCATCAGATCTTGCAAAGCAATGCAGCCACTGCAATAATGACATGCACAAGCGGGCATGAAGCCAGCTTGTGTTCAATCATAGGTCCTAAAGCTTCCACGAGAGGCTACAACAACACAATAATAGTGTCTCCAAGTGTGACCAACGTAGGAGTGCACTCGCTGAACTCGGCAAGATGAACGAGCACCACAGTACATTGACAACTTCCGCTTCGTCGAGTTAGATGCCATGAGTGGCTGAACGTTCCAATCGTGGTGCATCCACGGCAACACTCTAAAGCGTCAGCTGGTCTACAGGTGCGCAGTCGAGCGTCTACTTTAATGTACTTCAGCGCGTTACAGCGAAAACTTGTGACTCCAGGGCATAGATAAAAATAATCTATACAAACAGTGCTCTTCGACGCCCCCTCATCACGCCTAAGGAAAGAGTAATGAAGGACACCAAAATGACCAGGTTTATCGTTTTCGTAAAGTACAAAACGTTTCTACTTTCAATCTTTCCCTTTCTTGTTGTCCCTCTTTTGTTCATGTTATAAATCCCTGTTCTCAGCTTGCTGAGAGAAAAAAAAAAGCACAACAGAAACTAAGCCTTTGCAGGCACTTAACTAAGCTTACAAGATTACCCAGTCATGGCATCCCGAGATATTCTAGGTGTAACTAAGATCATGTCAGGAAAGGTTGCCGACAGCATTAAGTTTTAGCACTGCACAAAGGTGCAGTGCTAAATTCAAGAACCACTGGGTCCCGTAAGAAAACTTTGAATTTGCCGGCAATATGTGACTGTACTCAGTCTAACTGCATAACAAATATTGGTAGCACATTTTAGATGTGTTCAAATCCCAATTTAATTAAGGCTGCCAGCTGAAGTAGCGAGAATATACAGCTTTTTTCCTGTGCCTCACGGTTTCTAAACTGATGATGATGACTGTACTTACATGTATCTATCTGAAACCTCGAAGGAGCAAGAAATTTAGGGGGATCCCGAGTTTTGATCTATTTTATCAGTAACAACTTCACAAATTAAGAGATGGTGAGATTAGTAAAAACACTGGGTAAATTCATTTTTGGTAATGGAAAGGTAAGAAGGTTTCTTTTCGAATTCAACTTTTCGATTCAGAATAAGGAATTCCACCTGGACTATCGCTGACTTGACTGTCTGTTGTAAGCCTGTAACTTATTTCCTGGAAATTAAGTTGAAAGAGAAGTTTCAAGGGGATGCCAGGTCCAGCCATGGGGCGTGGGATTCTCGAAGTCATGGCCAAATTAGAGTTACTTTGTTACTAGCACGTCAATGAGAACACGAATGAGTGTGAAGGCATTTCAGGACATTTTAACTTTCAGTGACTCACTTAGGAAACAGGAAAACAATTTTCCAGCCCCATTTCTAAATCACAGCATCGCAAGATGTCGCCACCTGCAATGTTGCCTTCAAATTCACGTTTGATAGTGTCTCAATGTAAACCTCTTAAGGCTGTGTTGTGTTTAAATAATTAACTAAAAGCCAGTACTAAATAGTACCACTGCATGTGTAGTTGGCTTAGGAATATCAGAAGAGTTTGTACAACAAATCAAGAAAGAAAGAGCACTTGCATCACAGCCTACTGCATTTGGTTAAGCGACAAAGTAAGGCAACAGCTAAACACAGAATCTTTCAGGAAACTGATGACAAGTTTTAAAAAACTCCACATGCGTGCTGTGAGAATGCAATGCTATGGACGCTTGTTGTTTTTCATTGTGGCCTTTTCGTAAGTTTTATCTAGGAGCAGCTCTGTTCATTGTGATAGCGCATGTGAAGGTGCCAATGTATATCTGTATGATTGCATAGTAACATTTTTTCATAAATCTTGCATTTTCCTTAAAATCTTACAAAAAGTCTAGAAGTGCTCAAAGAACTACTAACTAAGCACTGGTCAGCACAAATAGTTAACAGCTATTATATACAACATAAAATAAAATACTCGGACACTAAAAGGCTCATCAACTTCTCCACTGTGGATATTGCAATTAAAGGGTCACGATAAAGCTCGAGTAGATCCTAAATTATTTAACCGAGCTCAATTTAAGAAACAGCCTGAGCATGTCGAGAGCACAGTAAACAGTAAGTGATTTTCATATCAGTTTCTTTTTTTTTAAGTTTGGTCAGAGTTAGCAGGAAGACACATTAGAGTAACAGCACGTGGGTTAAGAGACAACAAAAAATAATAATTTGTCACTTTATTCCATTCAATCTTTTCTACATACGCATCATTACACCGTTTTGCTACAGAAAGCATCAACCTGTTCAATTTGTCAGTTTTTAACGTGAGAACAAAATATTGTATATCACTTTTGCACAGCTGACAAGGCAGATAGAACGAGTGAAAGTTTCATACACTAAAAAAGTTATGCAAGCTTACCTCTCATAGTAAAACTAAATAAAAGTGAGAGGGAGAAGTGGAGGACCGCATTTCAAAGCTTCTAAGAGCCACTGTACCTATACTCTCATTTCAGTTGACACTAGATTTAGATGTGCCGGCACAACATTCAATCACTGTCACTGTCGTTACGATAATCATTTCAGAAAGCAATAACGAGCAATGCACGAAACTTACGGCATGCTCTGGTCGCTGTCGATGATGACAGTCTTTAGGGATGGATACCTGTGAAAATCGGGAAAAAAAGGAAAAGCAAAGGAAAAAAAGTCGCAGAAATGACAGCTTGCGGCCGTTATCTTATTGAAAACACAGCCCTAGGAATGCTGCAAGAGTGCATGCCTTGTGCTCGTTGTCTGCTACAGTCTGCAGCTCTGTTCTCAACAAAGGCATTGTCACTTCAGCCAGTACACTATTACTGTTGTATCGCCTTGACAAACATTGCACACAAGTTTCATTTGAAAGTGCCACTCTTATCACATGTTGATGGCAGGCACACAACCAACTCCCACTTACACTGAAACTTAACTACAACAAAGTTCGTTACTACTGAAAATTTTTTATAAAGGTGTATTCCTAACACTAGATCTATTGCAACACTATTCTCCCTTTACTTTGTTATAACCAATATTTCGTTATATCCAGGTTCGTTTTACCGAGATTTGAGTGTAGTTCATCTTGCTGCTTAAAGGTCATAAGGTATTTATAATAAAGGCCAATTGATGAATGCCGTATTAAATTGGTGTAATCATGCATTTTGGTGAGTTATAAAATAAATGATTATACATAACATAAACACCAGCATTATTAACTCATTTAGTAACTTAAAATGTGTGGGTGTATGACCCTTCTTTTATTGTCGTCGTCATGCCATGCACTTCAAAACATGCTGAACCAACACAACCAGCCTGTCATTCTTAAAATTCCCTGCGTGCCCCTAGAAGAAACTAAGCCTACCAAGAGCTCACAATTATTCTTCGGTCATCCCACCCTTATTGGGACAGCCAATTAACACTGTCACTGTTAAGCACTTGCACTGAAAGGTGTCAGGCCTGGAGTTCAAAATTTGGATAAACGTTTGTCAAATGCAAAGCTTTTCGAAATTTATCTAGGGCAACACTTTTTGTTCGAGGCACATACTACTTAAAAAAACAAATATTTTCTTGCATGCTCAAATAAAATGGAAACAGCAAAAACAAAAAATAAGACAAAGCTTTCTCACTTCTTCGACTTCAATTGCCCTGGTGGGGAGTCCTTCAGTTCAGGTATTAGGGAGCACAGCATCTCATAGTAGTTGAAGATCTTAAATGGTTGTGGAATGTAGATACCTTTGAAGTTCACCTGTTGTTATAAGGCATGCTCATTATTATATATTCAATTGAGAGTGGACATGAACAGCATTAATTCAATTTTCAACTTTCTTGATACTAACAACAATGACAGTAACACTGTACACAACAGTAGAATCTTGATTAGCAGCCTGCCAGTCAGCCTGCTCACTTAAATTTTGTTTCTGGTTCTGTGCATTGAGTCCTGTCAGTAAAACACAACCACCTTTACTGTAAATGCCTTTCCTGAATCTTCCAATGCCATATAGAATATTTTCGCGCCAGCAACAAATAACCCATCCTGGGGTGTAATTCGTACTACCAACCACTACTCGCAGAAATACTTAAAAAAGAACACTGAGTGTTTTGTCGAGCCAGTCGAGCGGACCGAAATTCACGTATATTATGCACTGTCAACTAGCGGATTTTCTGTATCTATGCAGATCATACATACGAAAATATGACACCTTCTGTCTTTCACAGTTGACTAACATTTATTCACAGCAGTGCAAATACAATAAATTACCTTCAGCATGACATTTATAGAGGAAGGAACTTCAATGTGAAAGCGTTTGTTGAAACTTATAGAGTTTCCTACAAAATCTCTCACTAGATGAAAGTGCTAATGTCTTCAGGTTCAGCCAGAACGAGAATGGCATATCATATTTATATGTGCAAAAACTTCATCATCATGCCGTAAAACAGCTTTGCGACTTTGCAAATCTGACCACTTCTAACAGGATGCTATAATTAAGTGCTGTCAGTGAACAATATTTGCGTCATAAGAGACACGCAGTGGCAGCTTGATAGAGCTTGCGGGGTTGTTACCGAACTATGGCAGCTACAATATTATGTGGCAAAATGCAAAGAACATCCTTGTGCAGAGATTTAAAGGGCCCCGCAACACTTTTTGAGCATGCTCAAAAACGCTGTCGATTAGTAGGCAATGAAATTCACAACACCTTCTTGTTTATAAGTGACACTGCGTCCCTCAGTCAAACACACGACGCTTTCAGACAATGTTGACAACAGGGAATGTTTCGTGCTGAACAGCTGGCTCTATCATAAAAAGCTTTCAGCAGTAACCATACACAGTAAAGCAACATAGAACAGCCACAGGTGCACGGCATGACCTGCACCATAAGTATATCCTGCTTTTTCTCTCACTTCTTTGTTGTTGTTGTTGTTGTTTTACTTTTGCATTAATAAACGTACTGAAGCACTGGCAACAGCTGCCTGTCGGTCATCTGAACACCTGGTTTAGAAAACAGCACTCCAGGTGCGACAGAGTTTCCTTGTTTACTTTATTTGCTTCCTACTGTTCTATGAATGAATGGACGCACGTTTAACAAGAGTATTATGACACCATAATCGATGCTGCATTAGTTACCTTTATTTGTGTGGATGCATGTCTGTTTATTTTCTATCAATGCACTTGTGTTGTGCCTCGAATATTTCCACTGTCCTTCTCGATCGATTATGCTGCAGCACGCACGTACATATTTTATTTCAAATGAAGTCATTCGCTTAAAGAGTTCTTTTGTCGCCAAGTAATCTTATGGGGTAGACGAAATAAGAATAGAAAAATATAATCTTACAGTACATACATAATCTGCATGTAGTCCACATCACATATCACTTTCTATCTTTTTTTTTATACGTATTACAGAAAAGGTTTTTTTTAAATATGTTGGCATGCATATTTTCGCATAGCCCTGTGTGCCGACAGCTTCCTTATTATGTACCTCAATCAGACCCTTGTGCATAGAAAGTCAGATTTTGCAAGGCGTCATCGGCCTCACAAAAGGCCCGTATATAAGAGGCCTCTGCAGTCCATTTAATTATGCTACCCCACAACTACGCCAAGATGATCATCTTCAGTGAAAACTTCACCAAAGGCATTTGCCGCTTCATGTACAATCCCAACTTACAGTTGTCAGGCACTTCTCGAATTCCGGAGGAGTCAGCCCAAAGTGCGTGCTTGCCTGTGAAAAAAAAAATTAAAAAGCGCTTGCACCATTTCTTGTGATTCACTTTCTTCCTTTTCTTTTTCATTTTGTACACATTACTAAGTGCAGTGTGCACAGCTTAATTAAACAAAAAAACACCATCATGCAAGATTGAAAAGTGTTACCTCATTTTGGACAAGCAATGTATGACTTAATTACGTTATGTTTACGTTTTTATTTACATATATTGAACTGAGGGAACAGATAATTGCAAAGTGTTCTTGTTTTATGGAAACAGCAGCTGTGTCCTGCTTGACAGTACTTCTGACCTGCCCAGGCGGTGGGGTTCCTATTGGATCACGTGTCCCCACTCTCGTTCAACTGCTCACCATTGGTGGCGCTACCTGTAGCCTATTCTTCTGCTACTTTACAGCTCTTCGAATGAGGCTGGAGTAAGAGCGCCCGCATGCTGTGATGAACAGCCGGCACATATGCAACTAATTCTGCAAACTTAGGCGGCTGGTCAAGTAAGCTTTTCAGTGCGAGTAAGTATTTGTCGCACACAGGTTGACGAACGAGGGAACCCGTAAACTTGCGTAGTGTAGGACAGCCTACGTGGTACCACGTCCGTTTACTTAAAAATGATTTCTGAATGACTTGTAGTATAATTATTCCAGACTTATTTTGCATTTGTGCATAATAATCAGGCAATATGAGTGCTCTGGTAGTCAAATTATGACCACAAACGCTGAAGCTGACGTCAGCGAACAGGTGCTGACTAGAGTCACGCCGCTCATAGGTTACGGCCCTAGGGACAGAAGGTACGAACTCGACGTGGGCAGGTTAGGAGACAGTAGGTCGTGCTGCAGGTGAAGCTGGGGGATGCATTTAAAATAATAAATATTGCCAGTTATCGTGCTTTTGTGGTCCCCGTACACACCTAGAAAAATTTTTGCAGACCTGTACCTTAGTTGTTCTGTTTTCCCTGTTTTTTCATCTGCACATCAAGAGATCTCCAAAATAATGTTTATGAATGTAGGCCTAGGTTTCCATAATATCGAATTCGTACCATAAATCCTTGAATGTCGAATTTTCGCACTCAGTGGACTGTTTAGAGTGCAGACTTCATATGTAATTTAATTCCCTACCATAATTTTTTATTTCACAGCTAAAGTGCACTACTGATGCATATGTTAAAACCAGTTTCCCTCAGATTAAAAACGAGTGCAAAGAAAAAGGGTGCAACTACATTTACAACAAAACTGAATGGCTCATAAAAGTGAGATCTGTGGTAATATTTCATAAGGCCATAAAATACCACCAATTCATTTTGTTGGCACAAGCAAAAGTAGCTCGTGTTACTTCTGTTGCTTGAATTTTGTGCCTTATCCAAGCGTCGTTTTTGTAAACTTTCATTTAGTCCAATGAGTGACTGATCCACAATATTTATAGTCAACAACAAAAAGAACCTTACGTGGAGATTATACACAAGGTATATATTACTTGAAATAAAGGATTTTTTTTTTATTTATACATCTTCAAAATAAAGTCCTTATAAATTGTGTTTTGAAAAGGGCCCTGCAACACTTTTTGAGTATCGTCAGTAGCACTGCCGATCGATAGTGGAGGCTCCCGAGAACACGCGAGCCAAGTATTATAGCGCAGCATGCAGCTTGAAATTCACAATAAATCTTCAAAGTCAGCTAAAAATTGCTTTCTCTTCTCTTGACAAATGATGAAAGACACTCAAAAATCATTTGTACAAGGCCGTGTATCAGCCATCGGCTGATTTGAACATGGCGCGCTTGGTCGTTACAGGGATTGTCATGGGAGGCGGCGACTTGATGATGCGTGCAGGCACGATCACACTGAAAAGTCGCATATTCGAAGAAAAAAATAAGAGGAAAAGTGCTCAAGGTCACGAGACACAAGTGACGTATTTTCTTTGCCCCTGCCATCTCTCCCTGCTTAGCTTCAAGCGTTTCTTCGGGACAAGAGAAGAAAGAATGCAACTGCAGCATGCAACAAATCTTTGTAAATCCGCTCGTACCGGACAGATCTTTAAAACTTTTGCTTCCTTGAACTCATTATGCAATAAGCCATTTTAGTGAATACATTTCATGGTTACTTGAAAAAGTTATTCAGTGCCCCTTTAATGCAATTTTGTTGTTTACTTTTTGCCAACCTGACTTCTTTACAAAAGTGGAAGCTTGGGCTTGTTGGTGTATAGTCAAAAAGGCAAGTTTCTTTTAGCACACGAACACAGAAAAATAAAGACAGAGTAGACAGAAAGAGTGCTGTTTCTGTCTACTCTCTCTTTCTTTTTTCTTATGTTTACGCACTGAAAAAACTTGCCTGTCTGATTTCACTAATTAACTTCAGTCATTTAATTTTCCTTTCTGGCAAGTGGAACATGTCACACTAAAATACAGTGACATGTGACACATCCCGGAGCCTTCTGAGTGCGTATGGGGATGCTGGGATACAGAGGGTCAATCCTCCCACTAGCAGTAAATGGCACAGCTCACGCTAATACTAGATATATAACAGTGCACATCAACCTGTAAACATTAGACTTGTGCGAATATTCAAATGCCTCGTATATTCAAACAAATATTGCAGTATTCGAATTTGCTTTGAATCGAAGCTAAATTATTGAAAATTTCAAGTTATTCGGAACGAACGAATAAGTGCATATTAATCCACATGTAGTGCTCTGTAAAGGTGGTTCCACTGCAGTAGAGACCTGCTAAGCTGTGAAAGAACCTACTCAAGCGTATTAGTTCACATGTAAAAGTGGTTTTACTGCAGTAAAATGATGTTAACCAGTCAAAACACATACTCAAAAGAAATTCTCACTGCAGCGAAGACCCCCTTTAAGGTTTCTGCGGGTTTTTTGGGGTATTTTATTTTGAGTTTCAAAAGCTCGTTACACCAACTTATATGCTCCAAGTATAGCTAATTTCAAAAGTTAGCATATTTTGCTGTCTATCACTTGTATTGTACCAAAAGTCAAATGCTGTCACTGTTCGAAGTTGTTGCCACTTTCTTTGATGCAAAAAAAAAACGGGTTTGCACAGGACTTGTTTCAATTAAAAAATATATATATTGTGCAGATTAGTTTGGCATGAAAAATATGCTCCTTTTTCCTCAAAATATGCAATATATACACTATTTGAATTCGAATCAAAATTAATCGACCAAAATCAATACTCGCTTCGACCCTAAAATTCACTATTCGCACAAGCCTAGTAAACATGCATTAGCCCGCTAGACATATCTGGTGCAGCTTGCTATTGCATCTGATCAAATACACGCACCGAAAGTACACCAGCTTTTGGCTGCCGCACCCGCCAGGAGAGTCCAGTTGAAAGTGCTTGGGGACCAGATCATCAAGGGGTCACCCTTGGAAAATCCTGCTGACAGAAGCCCTCGGGCCAAATTGTCCACCTGTAACGACAAGGTACGCTCATCAACCAACAATACAGTAAAAGCCCGTTCATCCGGATTCTGTGAGATTGGGGAAAATGTCTGAACCAATCGAATCATTAAGAGTATCACAATAACAATGAATTAATGTCTATTACATCAATTCCAAAAGTAAACACTTTCATTTTCTTTATCAACACGTAAATCACGTACTTATTTTACATAAGAACTGCAGAAAAGCCACAATTTTCCTCATTCACGATTTTGTGACCCAGCTCATGACCCTGTCTACTACTGAATAAACCTCGCTCACTTATTAACAATCACGGATGGCAACTACTACACAGTTCCGAAGGTAGGCGGCCAAAACCTTACTGCTCCCCACAGCTTTAGCCTCAGTCACTGTCGATGCGATCATGGATAGTGCCCATACAGTTTATGTAAAATGAAAAACAAGCAGATTTGCCGCGGCTGCTAAAGATTTGGTCACTAACAACGAGATTGTGGAAACACTGTGGATGGCAACTATGCTTTTCTGGAGGCCCACAGCCATTTCAGATGTTAGTTAGTGCCATTCCCACTATTTTTTGTAGTACATTTGTGGCGCTTCATGCTTAATGCACTCCGTGGATCATCCAAACTAACTAATTTGTGGCCAAATATGAGCAAATTAACAAGTTTGATGCTATAAGCCATTGTATATACTGACTATAACAAGAGAATGCATGTAATTTATCTTATTTTTCAACTTAATGTGGGTTTAATTAATGAGCTTTTGCTGTACTAAAACTCGAGAAAGGGCTACGCATAAAGGATGTGAATTGGATACAGTTCACTGATGAATAAAAAGACACAAAGCACAAACACCGTCATTATGTCTTTCTAGGCATGTAATTAGACTGACCATTTGGATATATGTATGATTGAAAGAGGCTACCAGTAGCGAATCTGCTAATTGGTGAGGCTGGTATGGCATTCAGTACAATATACCAATGATCAAATTCAATACAGCAGCAGGATTGTACAGTACAGTACAACTGTGCTGTGTACAGTACAGTAACTAGTTCAGTTCAGCAAAACCAGCAAAGCAGAAAGTCCCAGAAGTTGACATGTAAAGGCAGGTTCTGTTTCAAATTAACAATCTGAATAGTATACAAATTATTACACAGAGAACAGTTCACAAGACAAATAACAGCTTTAGCAATTTAAAATGCTCGTGCTTTCAAGAGGCTATGCTGCACAAAAACAGATTAGTAATAATCAAGAGATATTGCGGATGTTCAGTATGACAGGAAATGACAGTGATTGGTGTAGGAAACCCACCACACTTAAATTTCGACATGCTCTTTTTGAATTGTGATTTTCAATAGTATAAATGTAAACACCTTTCAGCTCACATGCAAGAGTCAATCAGTGCTTTACTATAGTTCACAAGTTTATATAATTCCGACATTTTACATCAAAGATGCAATGACCACACTTTGCCAATGACAGCATCAGTTGTGGGGTGTTTTAAAAGAGCAGCTCGTGACTAGCATATTGTGGCGATAATGTAAGCACACCTCGGATCAGAACCCTGACAATGCACAAAAAGGAAAACATTCAGAGTCGTGCAACTATTAGCGTTATATCCTTTTCACAAAGACTCTGACCCTACTAAAATGATGTTTTCGACATCTTGTAAAACTAATCTGTACATCTTCAGGTTCACCTAATTTTCTTGACAATAAATTAGGCATTTGGTGTCCCTTAAAGGGCTCCTAGAGCATAACGAGTTCCAAGGCAAGACAGCAGTTTTTTTTCGCCTTCGCTACCCTTCCTACAGGTGCTTGCTACAGGTGCTTGCTACAGGTACTTATTTCTGCATGAAACACAAGGAATGTCAGCAACAAGCGTTTAGGCAGTCAAAATTTTGCACTTTTCCCCTACGTGCTGCTATCTCCACTTACGCAGTCACAAATGTAGAAAATTAAGTGAAATCGGTTTATCGAGCATGCTACTCGCGGAGAGACAAGGAACAACGGGCAGGTGACTGCATAACAAAGCAGGGTGGGCAACAACAGATATCTCTCGTATATCGACCAATGGAGGCCTATATCGTCCCGACGTCACACGAGCATCTGCTGACGTCACGAATTGTGATGCAAAGACGGAAGTGCCAGGAGAGAGTAACGCACTCGTTCTTGCTACTTTTGGAGATGGCTTAGAGGCCCTCTAAAAAATCAGGCACGCTAACCTGGTTCTTGTACTCGCTGTAAGTGCAGTTTCTTCCTTCCTGCACAAAGGCCCACCCGACACGGTCCCCCCACTTGTGGGCAGCAATGTCGATGCACGTCCCCAGAGTGTCCTCGGACAACGGCTTGGTGCATGGCTCGAACCAGTAGCTGGACTGGAGTTTCCTGCTTTGTGTCGCTGGCTGACTGCGTGTACAGAAAAAGTGCACCTAGCAGACAAATATGAGAAGGAAAGCAAATAATTAATTGTTAGGATTCATTGGATTAATTCAGCATAGGATTGATATTAACTGTTGTCTTGGTAGTGTCCTCGATGGTTCAGACGAAAAGCGCGAACCTGTGTTTTGAACAAGAGAACAAACAATTTGCTTATATATTCACATGCCATGCGACAGTTTAGTCAAATTAAAAAAAAATATTTTGACATAAACTGACATAATTAAAAGAAGTGAAAAACGTCTACATTTTTGTCAGGAGGATCCGAACAGAAGAATAGACACTCAGTGTGTTCAATTCTTTGATTGTATTTAACGTCCTGTTTACGGCCAGAGTCTGATGACCAGAACACTGATGACCTGAGCAGTGCTCTGAATTGCCACTAATTATAGTTAAGCTTTGCAAAATGCTAAAATATTGCAAAATTTCCAGGTAATAAATAAATGAAGTGCACCACTTAAACATTAGTCCTGCATTTCATGTGTATTAGGATATGATCGCTTACAGTAGCTAAATTACGGCATTCCCATCCTTCGCTACTAAGATTCCTTCGCCACTGAGTGCACTGCAGCGTTGACTGAACAAGTGGTGCCGCCTACGGCACGGCGCACTATTAATCAGTTGTGGCTGAAAGCGAGTGCGCAAGGGCGGAAGCATGGCAGCTCGAGGGGACGAAGCTAATTTGCGGCCAAACAGGAGCGTAACTATGTCGTTGTGACTTTATGGCTGTCACAACAGCTAGGTACAGAAACTCTGCCGGTAAGCGGTAAAAAAATTATATGGATTTATTTAAAAGGCTCACGAGGACGAATGTCACAAACGACTCCAATTTTCGGAGCATCCGCGGGCCCCATCTTCCAAGGAAGGGCGTTTTTGTGTTGGGGGACGACATCCGGCGACTATAACGACCCAGCGTGGCGCCGGCTCGTCGTCCCTGCCCCTGACCGGAAGGGAAACCAGTGGTCTCAACAAGGAAAATTACTCCCAGATGAGATGGGAGCACGTGGACGCCCCTGAGGAGGTTTGAACTGCATCGGAAGAGCAGTTGACGTACAGACAGCAACAAGTGCGGTCGTCGGTGTCGCGAGTCTCGCGTAGGCGGCGAGCACGGAGTGACCCGCGCGACGTATTGAGACGGCTGCAATTCCGGGCACCCTCGTCGTCTACCAAGCCGGCGAGACCTTCAGCGGCACCCGTCAACTCCCCTACGTGCACCAAGGGCTGGTTTGGTCCGTATGGAACTTTTTATTGTGACTTTTTTTGTTAAACCGTAAACTTGTTTTAACCAGCCTTTTTTTTTTTAAATATTTGTAGTGTGCGCTGCGTCGCACGTTTAAATTCTAAAGCGCCACCATGATCATTCTGTAATTATTTCCTTGTAACCCTCTTTTGATTTCCATCTTGTTGTTATTTTATTAATGTTCCGCATATTTGTCTTTAGCCTGTATCTTTTGTAGTGTTTTTTTAGCATATTTTGTTATATAGCTGTTCTTTCCTTTGTGTATCAGTGTTACTCCTCTCTGTTATTTTACTTAACTCCTGCCTTTGCCAGTGTTCCAATTAAATGCTTGTTTATGTGTAATCGAACTCCGTGTCTGCTCTATGAGTGCGTCGGTCAGGCCCACACATCACCACACGTGCAACCCCGCACGGGTCGGCCAACCCGCAAATAAATTTGAAATGTGCCACTTCGAGGCCTTTCAGGCGTCGCAGGCCGAAGCGTAAAGTGGAAGTCTGCGAGTCTGCCGCACGTCGATGTCGGATCGGCGGGGCCTCACCCGAAGTGTGTGACATTATCTGGCGTCCGCGCGACAGGACTGGCCGACCACGTGGTGATGTCTGGGAGACTGACGTATCTCTGAGCGTGCAGTATGTAGACGTCCTTTTATTGCTTTGTTGGTTGACAACTGTTTATAGCAATGGACGACACGGTGTTTGACAGACTTATTGAACAGGGCAAAGCCTTTGGCTTTGTAGGCAAGGAGTTATATAATTTCGTCGAAAAAGAACGAAATAGACTTAAAGAGGAGCGCGATGCCGAACGCATTAGGTACAGGCAACATCTGGAATTTTTGATGGAACAGGAGCGAGAAAATTCAAGGCTAAGAATTCAAAAGGAAAAAGAGCGCTTGGGACTGTGTGTGGCACACTCGGGTCTTAGCTTAGCCGCTAGAACACCCAGTAGCGTGACCGACCGTGTCACGATCAAGCAGTCGTACCAGGATCATGTTCAGCTACTGCGCCAGAAAATCGAAAGTGAACGGCGCATGTTTGAGACCTGGGATGCAAGGCACAAAAGGAGCAAAGAGCCCGTAGGTGCCAAACCGCCGAGAGCCGGGCAAAAATTTTGTACTGTTCAGGCGGACATCAGGTTCGCGAGTGAACCTAAAAAGTTAGCTGCTGAAAGTCCCGTTGTGGCCACAAAGGCCACTGAAGGCCACAGTGATGGCGATGAGGCGCTGTGCCTGGAGAGTCTTGTTAATACAGAAATGTCATCTGTAATGGACTTGGCACAGCCACCCTGTTTTTGCGTCGCCATAGCAGCTAATTGTGAAGTTTGCAGTACCTCCGGCCCGGTAGGTGAGGACCCCTGTACAGAGAGCGGGGCACAGTCGGGTGCTGACGCGCACTGCGAGCTGGGCAATGTTGGGGCAAGTAGTTCTTCCAGGTGCGAGCGGCGCAGCCCCGAGGAAGATGCTTGCATTGCTCAGCCGTCAGTCAAGCTTCCCGCAAGTCAGGGTGTCCACAAGTTAACGGAAAATCCCGACTGTATAGGCATTATAGCCGAAGAGACAAGCGAGACAAGTTCTGCTCTGCAAATGTTGCAAGCGGACTTCTCGAAAGTGAGCACTGAGCAACGTGAAAAAGGAAAAAGACGCCGCAAAAGCAAGAACAAGAAAGAAGCCAAGGGTGTAAATCCACCCATGAAATCGAGAAGTGCCAAACGGCAGTCAACGCAACGAAAGCTTCGATTGCGTTTTGTGGCACTCGCCAGTAGAGTGGGTTGCCATGCTCCAAACCACCCGACAGGTAGAGGGGGGAGGCAGGCATCTGTTCGTGGAGCTCGGAAGAGCCCACCCCCTTCGCTCCATTGTCCTGCTCGAAACGCGGGGCGCCTTGCGAGGCAGCGCCTTTCGGCCGAGCGTCACAACATGGTTCGGAGACCCGTTTCCGTAGAACGCGGTGTTGATGAAGGCATGCCTCCGAGGTGTAGACTAAAGGGAAACATGTGTCCGTGTAGCGGCCGTACACGCTTTTGTCTGCCCCGGTTGCTTCGAACGGCTCCCCCAAGAGCACGGCCACCTCGGGCGCGGATAAAACTTATGTATATGTACATCGAAACGTAAACCTATCCTTCAGGGCTAATAGGATACTTTTTGAAACAATGTTCGTTTCATTCATTCGATTTTGAAACATTTGATAAACGTTCAGAGCAATCGCTTGACTTTTTTTTATTGATTATCTTGTGTCGTCTGTGTGTTTGCAGACGATGTTCGTTGTTTCAACCTATTACCCGTTCAGCTTGGAAAGCTTTGTTTTAGGGACGTTGTTATTTTATTTAGTTGGACTTTTAATTTAAGGTACTGCTTGGTCGTACAATTGAAGTATATCACGGTACGCATGAGTGCACAGACATGGCGTTGTGTTATTCAAGGCTTTCCTTTTTATTATCATTTTAAAATAGAGCGCTTTAGTGGACAGTAAGTTCAGGAACTGCGCGCAGGCGATCATGCCGAATAGTTTTTCATTCATCTTTTCTGAAAGCTGCGTGTCAATAAGTGACTTTTCAATACCACTTAAAGCATGTATTGTTTTAAGATGTGGCATGAAAGAATGCCTACGTGCCTTTTCCTTGAATCGTGCAGTATTTTCGAGACTTTCTTTTCGTGTTTCATGTGTATCCGTGTCGTGGTGCGCGGGTAATGACTTTCATTGTATGGTGACCGTGAAGCGTAGTGTGTCAGGTGTTCTCTGCGATGTCGTCCACGTCAGTGAAATGGTGCGCGAAAAAGAAAACGCATTGGTGGACAACCGGAACCCTGCAAGCTCTCGAACATTGAGCGTTTGTGATTTTCTTGAACATTACGAAGTAATATTCTTAAGAAGGGGGCTATGTCACAAACGACTCCAATTTTCGGAGCATCCGCGGGCCCCATCTTCCAAGGAAGGGCGTTTTTGTGTTGGGGGACGACATCCGGCGACTATAACGACCCAGCGTGGCGCCGGCTCGTCGTCCCTGCCCCTGACCGGAAGGGAAACCAGTGGTCTCAACAAGGAAAATTACTCCCAGATGAGATGGGAGCACGTGGACGCCCCTGAGGAGGTTTGAACTGCATCGGAAGAGCAGTTGACGTACAGACAGCAACAAGTGCGGTCGTCGGTGTCGCGAGTCTCGCGTAGGCGGCGAGCACGGAGTGACCCGCGCGACGTACTGAGACGGCTGCAATTCCGGGCACCCTCGTCGTCTACCAAGCCGGCGAGACCTTCAGCGGCACCCGTCAACTCCCCTACGTGCACCAAGGGCTGGTTTGGTCCGTATGGAACTTTTTATTGTGACTTTTTTTGTTAAACCGTAAACTTGTTTTAACCAGCCTTTTTTTTTTTAAATATTTGTAGTGTGCGCTGCGTCGCACATTTAAATTCTAAAGCGCCACCATGATCATTCTGTAATTATTTCCTTGTAACCCTCTTTTGATTTCCATCTTGTTGTTATTTTATTAATGTTCCGCATATTTGTCTTTAGCCTGTATCTTTTGTAGTGTTTTTTTTAGCATATTTTGTTATATAGCTGTTCTTTCCTTTGTGTATCAGTGTTACTCCTCTCTGTTATTTTACTTAACTCCTGCCTTTGCCAGTGTTCCAATTAAATGCTTGTTTATGTGTAATCGAACTCCGTGTCTGCTCTATGAGTGCGTCGGTCAGGCCCACACATCACCACACGTGCAACCCCGCACGGGTCGGCCAACCCGCAAATAAATTTGAAATGTGCCACTTCGAGGCCTTTCAGGCGTCGCAGGCCGAAGCGTAAAGTGGAAGCCTGCGAGTCTGCCGCACGTCGATGTTGGATCGGCGGGGCCTCACCCGAAGTGCGTGACAACGAACGATGAGAGCTTTAGAGAAGGTGGTGCGATGTGCGAGATTACTTTGAAAGGCAAAAATCAATTACCTCTCCCAAGAGACCAGTGTGCAATGAGAATTTAACACATTTTTTTCTTCTGTTTTCACACGGGAAGATCATTCTAGCATTCCTGAGTTTCCAAAACTTGATTACCTCTTTATGGCACCCGTAGATATTAACATTTAGAACATCACTAAACTAATCAACAACCTCAAAGTTTCTACTTCTAGTGGTCTAGATAATATCAATTCAAAGATACTACAAAATACAATTCCCACATCCTCTCAAATATTATTTCACATTTTCAGACAGTCTTTGTGTACCGGTCAGCTTCCTAGGGACTGAAAAGTCGCAAAAGTTATTCCCATATTTAAAGCAGGATGTAAAGATCAGGTTGAAAATTATTGTCCCATCTCGTTAACCTCTATCAACTGTAAAATACTTGAACATATCATTGCTTCTCACATTTACAGTCATCTTGAATCAAACAATTTATTTAGTTCCATCCAACATGGCTTTAGGAAGGGTTTCTCTTGCAATACACAACTACTTGAATTCACGGCAGATCTACAGACTAACTTGGACATGAACACACAGACAGATTGTGCTTTCGTCGTTTTTTCGAAGGCCTTTGACCGTGTCGCCCATTGTCGTCTGATTTCCAAACTGTCTTTTCTTAAATTGGACTCCTTAACGCTATCATAGCTTTGAAATTTTCTTTCATTTCATGAACAGCTCACATTTGCAAATGATTCTCATTCAGATATCACAGAAGTCACTTCAGGAGTGCCGCAGGGTAGCGTCCTTGGCCCTCTACTCTTTTTAATCTTCATCAACGATCTGCCGACTAACATTTCATCCCGTATACGCCTGTTTGCAGATGACTGTGTCATTTATCGAACCATAACATCTCCCTCTGATCATGAGGCCCTTCAAGGTGACCTAGACCTCGTTTGCAGTTGGTGTAATAAGTGGTTAATGAGCTTCAACACTTCAAAATGTAAAATAATGTCGGTTTCCCGAAAAACCTCGATTTCCACTTTTTCATACAAAATTAAAAATAGTGAAGTATCTCAAACCACATCATACAAATATCTAGGGGTTATTATTGACTTTAAACTTTCATGGTCTTCCCACATAACTTCCATTTGTTCCAAGGCATCCAAAACACTAGGTTATTTACGTCGAAATCTCCATAACTCCACATCGAGCGTCCACAAAATAGCCTATTTAACATTCGTACGTCCACAGTTAGAATATGCCTCACCAGTTTGGTCACCTTATCAAAACTATTTAATACAGATGATCGAAGCAATTCAAAACAGAGCAGCGCGCTTCATAACTCAGAACTACCAATGTCACAGCAGTGTATCTCAAATTAAACGCGAGATCGGTTTACAACCATTGGATATCCGCCGCAAGATAGCCCTCCTTGTGTTGTTTCACAAGTACATTAATAGCAGAAATCCATGCGCTTTCTCTCTACACACACCGGATCGCATGTCTGCACGCATGCGAAATCAGTGTAGCTTTAAGCGTATTTTTGGCAGAACACGCCCGTTCAACTTATCTGCTTTGCCACAGGCAATCTCACTCTGGAATGATCTTCCCGACGAGATAGTGTCAGTCACTAACAACAACGCGTTCCGCGAGAAACTACTCTCTCACTACATCTAGCATCATTTCATAGACATTTGTATGGAGGTGCATATACTTGGTGACTGTATTTTCCTTGTTCTATTACTGTTATTAGTGTTGCTATTATGTTGCATTTATTTGTATATTTGAACTGTATACACTCTCATTTTTCTTTCTTTTTTTCTGTAAGCCCCCCTTACCCTATGCTCTAACGAGAGCCTGTATTTATTTATTTATTAGAATACCCTCAGGGCCCGTAGGGCATTACAGAGGGGGTGGGTACAAGATATATAACACACAAGAAAAAAAGACAAAATAAAGAAACAAGTATCAGATGCGCAAATCAGGAAGGCAACATAAGTCAACTAAAAATGTATAAGAATTCAAGCACATACAAGACAAAGATAGATAATGAAAACTGCGTATAGTTACAAGCATTGCTGAGAAATTGCAGTCTTGAATAACAAAGGGTCTGTTATTGATACAACGGAAGAGGGAAGGTGGTTCCAATCGGCGGCTGTTTTCGGTAAGAAGGCTGCTGAAAAGAATTTGGTGCGGCAAAACGGAATGGCAACCTTATGCTGATGATCAATGCGCGATGAGTGGTATGACGGTTCTGAAATGAGGTCTCGCTTCATTGATGGATTGTGAAAAAATATCTTATGAAAAAAATGCAGTCGCGCCAGTTTCCTCCGGACAGTTAAATTGGGTAGGTCAAGGTTAGATTTCATTTCTGATATGCTAGCAGTACGGGAATAATTAGAACAAATGAACCGAACTGAGCGGTTCTGAACAGATTCTAACGCGTTAATTAAATTTTGCTGCACGGGATCCCATATAGCGGACGCGTACTCAAGCTTTGGGCGAATTAGTGATCGGTATAATAGAATTTTGAGGGACAGCTGTAAGGTATGTTAAATAAATAAATACATGCTGCTCATTTTTTCAATGCTTTCTTTGTTATTATTGAGCATATTTGATCATTGTGGTCAGAAACTAAGCCGTTTTATAGTGGCAATGGTCTTTAGTGGAGGATATTGGCAATGTGTGAAGCACTGAAACCACTTATGCAGTGCCTACTTCTTGGGCTCAAAACATGATCGACAGCCCTGCACTTTGCCTGCTCAGACACATTTTTCTGCATGCAATGGGAAAGGCGACAGCGTGAACCATCGATTAAGTGTTAAAGAACTTCATATCGACAAGGAGACATATGGTGCACGATTGCCAGAGCCTACGTCTGTGCAAGATGTGCGCTTGGACTTGTTGACAAACGTAGCCAAGGTGAAAGCAT